ATAAGGGAAACTGTAATCAGCTTTTTTTGAAAGTGTAGACCCATTGCGGCCTGAAAGAGTGCTTCTGCTTGTACCCCTCGTAACACGTGTCACAAGGGTTTTTGTAATGAAATATCATCATATTCATGTTCAGCGGGTCGAAATTACCTGGGAGACAAGTTTCTGGCCGAATCTGATTTTTTCGACCTCATTGGGAGTGGGCTATTCCATGGGTAATTAGCAGCGGACTGGAGCTCACCTACCATCGATGACTGATCTTGGAATGGATTTCCTCCCGATAGTTAAGAAAATTGTGGTGGGCGAACGCCGGCACATTATAAGTAAGCCAGCTATGTGTTTGCGAAAACACATGACTGAAGAGTTATTTCAGTTCGAAGACCAGTCATCACCAGTATGCTAGTCATAGTATCGATGTTAGCTATCAGTTAGCCATGACTATCCATACCCATTTTTTTCGAAGTTGAGTCAGAAGCTCAGATTTCGCTAAGGTGACGTCCCTAGAGGTTATTTGACCCTCTGAAACACGAATATGATACCTAGATTTTGCGCGAAGAGCGCTAAGAGTCGCGCTACCGGTGCCAACGCTTCGGTGCCAGCGCGCCCGTAAGAAGAAAAACAGTAAAGAAAAACCTCAATAACTCCGCTCAGAGAATCGTTCTGCAAATTCTGAAGGCAGTTCTGAGTTCAGCGTGTAAAGATGAGTACAGTGATGTGCATCTCATTGCAAATGGCCAGGCTGACCTGTTGACCTTTCCTGTTCAGCATCAATAAGGTTCGAACGCGGAATAATATCTTCATGAACTCCCCGTAAAAGGCCAAACTTCACAGAACAACACAGCATACAGTCCTTTTTGGTGAGTGTCAGGCGGGATGAATTGACGCGGCACCAAAACCGTTTTCCACCAGCTGTTGAAGAGGGTGAGGGACAACAATTGCTGGAAAACGACTAGTGCGAAAGACGTGACCCTTGTTGCTTGCTCTCTTTAGCAACTGATGGGAATCGGGTTTGCCGCCGCGTCAAATCCATCCCGCCTGCCACGCCCCTTCGTCCGCAGCGAACAAGACTCTGGGAGGTCATCGGACTTGGCGTCGATCAATCCCCTTCTGGGGAACGCCACGCATCTCACTTCTATTCGCTACTGCGGCGGCGCGACTTGGCCGCCAGAAGACGACCTGCGGCAGCCGAAGGCAAAATTTTCACCACTACACAGAATCCATGGGCAAATCCAAAAAGCTTGACTGTCCTCAGCGTGATTCGATCCAGGATCTGAGTCCCGGAGCGTGCGCCGCATGATTAGAGGCACCACTTGCCACCACACCATTTTTAGTCAAGGACTCTCATAGAAAGTAACATAAAACTATAGAAAGAATTCAGATTAAAAAATATCCCACCTTAATAAAAGCAGAATTTTTGAACACTTTCTCAGGAGTACCAACGAGTTTTAGTTTCTTGACGACATCAGTGCTCTTTTCAAGATTCAACACAACTCCGGTAGCGACAATCCGGTATCCCGGCTGGAAATTGCAAACAATTCGTCAAAAAACTTAAAGGACTCAGAAAAGCAACCCTACCGTTTTATCGGCTACTGACTGTACAGCAACAAAACCCGTATTCTGGGCAACAATTGGCCCCCAAAACTGTGCATGACAATGCATGTGCTCAGGTGTGTACTTCAAAAACCGCTGCCTCATGTTGTGGTCCTAAAACAACTTTCCTAAGAACACTAAGTAGTCAGAAAAGTGCTACCTACTGCTGTAAATTTCTATAGAATACAACCTGAATGGAATATATGACAACAGTTTGATATCTGCGCCAACCACAACTGATGATCAGTGGATCTCGTGACTTTAAAGTTCTTTCAAACCATCGATGTCGTTTTATGCGTACCTGAACGTTGATAGGCGTTTAAAGAACAAATAACAGAACACTTCGGCGACGGGGGGGGGGGGATTGGTGGTATTTTGCATTATCGCTGCTTCGCTACTTCAGTTTACAAGTCTCATTCTGACAAAACCTGTGAAATGCCCAAATATCAAATGAAAAAAAACACCATGTTGCTCACCTGAACCACTCCCATATTTTGCTCACCGGTCAATAATCCACCAACAATATAAGGTGAGGTTGGGTCGAAATTCTCGACAAATTCACAAGGTACGTTTTCTATTTCAATACGAACGTAGCGACCAGCTCGGAATCCTGAATAAAGGCAAACGTAGGCAGGAGAATAAATGCAAAATGTGGGTGAAAAGGAAATATGGATGAATGAATGAACAAGGAGAAAATGATAAGACTCCATGATTGCAAAAAAATATCATCTGAAAACTTCTGACCTTCCAGCTGCTCTCGCTCACTTTCATCCATTCCTTCAAAAATACTCTTGTTAAGTTGGGCTTGCTCCTCCATCTCATTCTGAAAAGAGACGAAATATGATCATTCAAATATTGATATTTCGCTTCACCTACACCTCATCATGATGGAAAAAGGTGGAAGTAGAGCTAACCTTTAAGGCGTTATAATGTTTGCAGGAGTCATCGTAGTCATCATTGAAACGTTGCTTGAGCTTTATTTTCTCTTCTTTACGCTTCTCTCGAGCTGCAGCTTCTGCTCGCTCAACTGCTGATAATTTGGCCTCATCTGAACACATCGAATCTTTCCAACGAATTTTGAGCCTTTCTCGAATTTCCTAGCGAAAGAACAAGGAATAGCAATGAAATTCGGAATCTACCTTCTTTCAAAGGATCTTCGTCATCGCTTTCCTCTTTTTCTTCTTGCTCTTCATCCATATCGTCTGCAATAACAAATAAACCAACTCGAGCTAAGTTCAAAGAAAAGTGAAGAATGACGATCAATGCCTTTTTCGTTATTTCTACCAAATTTATACTTTCCGCTTTTCTACATGATAGATAATTCAAAACAAACATCCAGGAAGACATAAACACGTACACAGTACAGCCAGCAGATAATAGAAAGCACCCAAAACAAAAAATACACAAAACAGAAGCGATAATATAAATATCTATAGATTACTACAAAAAAAAGAAACAAAAAAAAAAAAATGACCGCCCTCCAAGAAGGAAAAAAAAGAAAAAAATAAAACCAACAAAAACAATTAAATAGCCCCAGAGGCGAATGTATTCAGGAAACTTGGCCGGAGCATTTCGGACTTTTGAAAGCGTATGTCGAACCGTTACCGTTTATTGGTAAGTCAAAGGGAGTGATACATCTGTACGTGAAACACAATGTTCAAACTCAATAAGCAAAAACTACAAGCTGTGTTTGAGTGAGGTCAGATCCTGGGTCAGCAACGGAATTCGAACAGTGCTTACGGACTGCAGTGGGTCTGACATAGGCCTTCAGGTCGACAACCCTTAATGAGATGTGACCTGTAGCATCGCTAAGGCACATTTGTAGCCGGATCCCCCGTCAAGAATGAACACCCGAGCTTAGTGACATATTACAAAGGTACCGTTCGGAAATAGGCATGATGTGGAGCACAAAAACTAGTCTAGGACAGCATAAGGTAACATGGACAGCAGCACCATTCTTCGTTCACGGAAAACGTACGAACCCTAGTTTCTGCTAAAATCCTGGCCCCCGCTACATCAGTTTCTTGATTCTGCCCAACTTCCTACGCATTGTCGCAGAGTTTCTTTCTCATGACGATTCCCAAGCGTGGAATCCCTACGCCACAGAACGTGCCCCCGGAAAAGAGAATTAATATCGATAACATTTTGCGGACCATGATTAAGGCGACCGTTTCCACGGCCGCACACACACCGAACCTCAGTAGTTGATCAGAGCTCAAGAATAGGGATTGCAGAGAGCTTGTTGGAACATTATAGGCGGCAGAGAGAAAGCACGGAAAAAACGGCCTGCTATAAGAGCCGTCCATTTATTTCAATTGACATGGGATCACCGGCGAGCGTGCGGTGAGTCACATCAATTGTAAAGGAAAAGGCGACGATACACTGACAAGTGACGAGAGAGGCCAGAGAGCGACGGGTGAGATTAATGGCAGTGACGCAATGACACGACCGGCATGGGCCTAACGGGCGCCAATGGGCCTAAAACCTGAGCGTCCTGCGCTCTCCTTGTTATTTTTCAACTTTTAAATGCAGTATGGCCTCTGCCGTTGCCTGCTTGAGCATCATACGCGTTTATGAGGTTCTAGCCTTAGATTATCGCGAACCGTGCCTCTAAGGAGATTGCACGAAACTGCGTTTGTTATGTGCGGTACTGACCTACTCAGTACAAAAAGGACATGTTGTCAGAAGTAACTACACACGTGAAAGGAGAAGGGTATAAGTAATGGACACAGTAGCAAACTGGAGGTCCACTTGGCCGAGGCAGCTCACGGAGGCCCCGATATCTAAGGCAAGGTACCACAAAGAGGCTAAGAAAACTACCTTGAAGCTTCTTCTCGATTTCATCATCTTCAGTCCATGTTCCTGTAACAAAACAGTCGGCAATGGATGATCGCGTCTCCTCATCATTCCAGTTGAGAGTCGCAGAGGAAGTCGAAGCGCACTGGTTCCATAAAAGGCCGTCTTCCTGAAAGACACAAGCTTCTTCCCTTGAGAGGCTTTTTCAGCCTCTTCAACGTCTTGTATGCTCATTTGCTGCTAAACATTCGTATGAACCAAGCTTCATACAAGGTTTACAAACCGAGAAACGACAAAGCAGAAAGTCCGCAAACCTGCTGATGTATGGGCTTGCATTCAGTTTTTCGAACTTTGAATAAACCATCACCAATATCAACCGCTTTCGGTGCCGGTACTTGTTCATCTTCTGAACAAAAATCCTAGTATATAGCATAGAAAAAAGAAAATCAATATCAAAACAGATTCATTCGCAGCAACAGGAATCCCGGGGGGCGGGGGGTCACAAAGACTAACCTTGTTTATAAATAATGCTCATCCAATTCAGCCTGATTTGTTGCTCAGGATGATATCCTTCAAGAGCTTTTCGAGCCAGTCCTCCCCAGTCGTCAGCGAACTTTCGTATCGTTGGTTGTTCATCATCAGATTCTTCCTCACCACTGCTCTACAACAAGAATATATGCACATTGTCGACTTTAAAGGCAAATGGCACGATGGAGCGGCAGGCGGTTGCTGCAAAGTCATCGGCAGAAGAGCTACGAGAGAGCGCCTGATCGCACACCCCTCAGCCCATCAGCCAATGACTTTGGCGGAAGCCAACCACCAAGCTTACTGCCTTCAAGTATTTTTAGTGAACACCTCATCGCTAGAATCAAATGGCGACTTCGAAGATTTTGCGCCACGAAAATGTTCTTCTGAATCGTGGTCGGATAGGTCCGCCATTGCCTCGTCTGAGCCTTCGTCCAAATCAGAATCTTCTCCAGACTGCTCCATTTCATCAAAATCGTCAGCGTCCTGTAGAAGACACAATGTAAGAGATGGAACCGGTTCCAATTTTTTTTTTTTTGTTGCACCAACGTTCGACGGCTAGAATAAGCATTGTTGAGAGGACCCTCCTCCCTATCACTCCACAATCCCTTTTAGCAAGCTGAGGCATGCGCTCAGAACTTGTAGCGCTACACTCCGCGTATACTGCGCGCTAAACCGTCGCGCTTACACGCTGTCTGTGCTACAAGTGAACTTTGACATCTCACATAATGAGAGAGTTTGACCAGAGATCGGTGCAAAGTAATTCTTTTCCTGCGGCAATATTATCCTAAGGCCGTTTAAAATATGGCCTAAGAAGCGATTTCCAAACAGTTGACCTGGACAGAGCCCAAGGGCATAACTTGTTTTTTTTTACTTATCCATACACTGTAGACTCACTTCTTTACAATCCCGGAACTGCTTCCTTGTTGCGAAAAGAGTAGGAGATATCGGAGAGATACTATGTTCTTTCTTTCGGTATTCAATCCCTTTTACTTTGTTTCTCCATTTTTTTTAATGAATTAGCTCCTCTTTTGTCAGCTTTGACATATGAATTCAAAAGCAGAGGCACAAACAGACACAGTAACACTGAAGAAAAACTAAAAACAGTTTTCGTAACCAGGATCAATTGAGCACCAATGCAAGACATAATTCATTAATACATTAATAAGAACCCTGGGACTGAATACGTAAAGTCGAAAACGGTGTACAAAAGTCATTATTACAGGGTCGCTGCATCAAAACTACATTAAAATTCATCAAAAAACTCGAGACGCTAAAATCTCATATGTAAAGGAAAAAAGATCGGAGCTACAAGAATAAGTAGATCTGAAACGCCGGAAAGAGAGTGAACATAGGAAAAAATAGAAAGGGGCAGGGGTTCGATGCATTGTAGCGCGATAGTTATAGCGGTGACAGTGTAGCGCGACAGTGTAGCGCTAAAAGTCTGAACGCCGCCTAATTAACACACGAAATAAACTATGCAGTAAAGTACCCTTATAGCAAGGAGTCCTCCGCGCTGTTCCGGTTTAACGCCAAGCTCATGTCGCATCTTACCGACTGTACGCATTCCCACCCACGGCTCTCCTGGCGGCAGGAGGTGGTCGATAACTGGTGCATAGAAGCGGAGGTATAGGTACAGATACCCAAGACCGCAAAAACACGATATCTAAAAAAACAGTAAGCTGTAATGTGGACAGTACAACTGCAGCAGATGGGAAAGTTTATGCGAGTCGCACGAATGGTGGCAAGTTGGCCCCTCATGAAGACTCTTGCTAACTGTTTCTAAACAGCAGGGCTCCACCAACAGCACAAACATTTGGCTCGAATCAGTGCAGTACAGTGATGGTTAAGAAGAAGTTCTGCTTACCTCTCATTAATATTTTATCCTCAAATGTGGCCCTGAACGAGCCAGCAGGTTCATGCAACCCTTTCTTGATTTGACCACGAATTCCCGATACAGTTCGAATCGATGCTCCTTCAAACTTCGCTACCTCCATTTGAGTGTTGAACATTCCCTGAAGCAAACTGAATGGATTTTCCTTAGTCTTGCTCCTCACCGAGGAAAGGTCACAGCAGGGACAGCTGCCGGCCATTTCCAATGAGCTGCACACCATTGTACGCGTCTTGGGACGGTGAACACAGAACTGTCTTCAAAATTTGCAGAACGATTCTCTGAACGGAGTTATGGAAGGGTTTTGTCCCCGCATGGTCGTTTCACGTGCTATTGCGAGGAAACGTTTTGAAGCGTCTTTACATTTACGTATGAAATCGGGTTGACACGTGGCACAGAGCGCAAGCGGGTAGGGAGCGGGTTTCTTAGGCGAGACGTCGTAGGATCGCTCCTGGGCAGTTCCTTTTTGCATTTGTCCAAGAACATAGCCGACAAAGCTTCTAAATCTCTGCTCGCCTGCACTACCCTATAAGGGAACCTGCAATCAGTTTTTTTTCGAAAGTGTAGACCCATTTGCGGCCTGAAAGAGTGCTTCTGCTTGTACCCCTCGTAACACGTGTCACAAGGGTTTTTGTAATGAAATATCATCATATTCATGTTCAGCGGGTCGAATTACCCCTGGGGACAAGTTTCTGGCCGAATCTGATTTTTCGACCTCATTGGGTGTGGGCTATTCCATGGGTAATTAGCAGCAGATTGGAGCTCACCTACCATCGATGACTGATCTTGGAATGGGATTTCCTCCCGATAGTCAAGAAAATGGTGCAGACGGCACAAATAAGTAACCAGCATGCTGTGTTGCCGAAACACATGACTGAAAAGGTATTTCAGCTGCGAAAAGACGCGGTCATACCAAGTAACGCTAGTCATAGCATCGATGTTAGCTATCAGTTAGCCATGACTATCCCATACCCATTTTTTCGAAGTTGAGTCAGAAGCTCAGATTTCGCTAAGGTGACGTCCCTAGGGGTTATTTGACCCCCTGAACACGAATATGATACCTGTTTTGCGCGAAGAGCGCTGTGAGTCGCGCTACCGGTGCCAACGCTTCGGCGCCAGCGCGCCCGTAAGAAGAACATAAAGAAAAACCTCAATAACTCCGCTCAGAGAATCGTTCTGCAAATTCTGAAGGCAGTTCTGAGTTCAGCGTGTAAAGATGAGTACAGTGATGTGCATCTCATTGCAAATGGCCAGGCTGACCTGTTGACCTTTCCTGGTCAGCATCAATAAAGGGTCGAACGCAATATTCTTCAGGAGCCTCCCCCGTAAAGATAGCCAAACATTCACAGAACAACGACAGCAATACAGTCCTTATTTGGTGAGTGTCACGGGATGACACTCACACGCAGGCAGCCAAAAACCGTTTTCCACCAGCTGTTGAAGAGGGTGAGGGACAACAATTGCTGGAAAACGACTAGTGCGAAAGACGTGACCCTTGTTGCTTGCTCTCTTTAGCAACTGATGGGAATCGGGTTTGCCGCCGCGTCCAAATCCATCCCGCCTGCGCACGCCCCTTGTGCCGCTAGCGAAACAAAGACTCGGGAGTCACGGAACTCTGGCGTGATCAATCCGCTTCTGGGGAACGCTCACGCATCTCACTTCTATTCGCTACTGCGGCGGCGACTTGGCCGCCAGAAGACGACCTGCGGCAGCCGAAGGCAAAATTTTCACCACTACACAGAATCCATGGGCACCAAAAAAGCTTGACTGTCCTCAGCGTGATTCGATCCAGGATCTGAGTCCCGGAACGTGCGCCGCATGATTAGAGGCACCACTTGCCACCACACACCATTTTTAGTCAAGGACTCTCATAGAAAGTAACATAAAACTATAGAAAGAATTCAGATTAAAAAATATCCCACCTTAATAAAAGCAGAATTTTTGAACACTTTCTCAGGAGTACCAACGAGTTTTAGTTTCTTGACGACATCAGTGCTCTTTTCAAGATTCAACACAACTCCGGTAGCGACAATCCGGTATCCCGGCTGGAAATTGCAAACAATTCGTCAAAAAAACTTAAAGGACTCAGAAAAGCACCCTACCGTTTTATCGGCTACTGACTGTACAGCAACAAAACCCGTATTCTGGGCAACAATTGGCCCCCAAAACTGTGCATGACAATGCATGTGCTCAGGGGTGTACTTCAAAAAACCGCTGCCTCATGTTGTGGTCCTAAAAGCAACTTTCCTAAGAACACTAAGTAGTCAGAAAAGTACTACCTACAGCTGTAAATTTCTATAGAATACAACCTGAATGGAATATATGACAACAGTTTTTGATATCTGCGCCAAAACGCAGCAATGAATGATCAGTGGATCTCGTGACTTTAAAGTTCTTTCAAACCATCGATGTCGTTTTATGCGTACCTGAACGTTGATAGGCGTTTAAAGAACAAATAACAGAACACTTTGGCGACGGGGGGGGGGAGATGGTGGCATTTTCGGGCATTATCGCTACTTCAGCTTACAAGTCTCATTCTGACAAAACCTGTGAAATGCCCAAATATCAAAATGAAAAAAACACCATGTTGCTCACCTGAACCACTCCCATATTTTGCTCACCGGTCAATAATCCACCAACAATATAAGGTGAGGTTGGGTCGAAATTCTCGACAAATTCACAAGGTACGTTTTCTATTTCAATACGAACGTAGCGACCAGCTCGGAATCCTGAATAAAGGCAAACGTAGGCAGGAGAATAAATGCAAAATGTGGGTGAAAAGGAAATATGGATGAATGAATGAACAAGGAGAAAATGATAAGACTCCATGATTGCAAAAAAATATCATCTGAAAACTTCTGACCTTCCAGCTGCTCTCGCTCACTTTCATCCATTCCTTCAAAAATACTCTTGTTAAGTTGGGCTTGCTCCTCCATCTCATTCTAAAAGAGACGAAATATGATCATTCAAATATTGATATTTCGCTTCACCTACACCTCATCATGATGGAAAAAGGTGGAAGTAGAGCTAACCTTTAAGGCGTTATAATGTTTGCAGGAGTCATCGTAGTCATCATTGAAACGTTGCTTGAGCTTTATTTTCTCTTCTTTACGCTTCTCTCGAGCTGCAGCTTCTGCTCGCTCAACTGCTGATAATTTGGCCTCATCTGAACACATAGAATCTTTCCCGAACACTAAATTTTTAGCCTTTCTGTCAACTCCTAGCGAAAGAACAAAAGAATAGCAATGAAATTCAGAATCTACCTTCTTTCGAAGGATCTTCGTCATCGCTTTCCTCTTTTTCTTCTTGCTCTTCATCCATATCGTCTGCAATAACAAATGAACCAACTCGAGCTAAGTTCAAAGAAAAGT